CTCATTCTAGTTTAGGTGTCGGACTGTCGCTCCCTGAACAAGTCGCGACGCAGAGTACACGAACTACTCTTCTCGCTTGTCTCGAATACCGACTATTTCGTCTCCTTTCGATGACAAGTAATTTTCTTGGAGAAGGTGAAAAGAGAATTATTCATTGTTCCCGACCGACAATAGTATTCGAATTAGTACAAAGATGTACAATAGAAGAATATAGGTGAGAACTTAGTTAAAGTAACACTCAAATATTCAAGTGGTAGAGTACCAATAGTAATCCCTTTACTTCGTCGTGTCACAAGTCTAAATAATAACTGAAAGCAAATAGATTTACATGTTACAACAAAATGTAACGAGACTACCCCCTGTCTGGTGAGAATAAACGTCTAAGACACTTTACATTAAATTTAAAACATTAACTACACCAAACATAGGTCAAAAGTAAAATACATAGAAATATAGGTTACAAATGAGAAACGAAATACTCGCTGTCGGAATAAAATGACTAAGAACTTTTAACTTAACATTAAAGATAACATTTATCAATGTAAGTACACCTAAATAGGTCAACGTGTAACATACGTACGTGAATATCCACAGTAAACAACAACGGGAACTTCCGGACCGACAATGTCAGAAATAAATGTGATAAAACAACATCCGGATGACCGGATCTACAAATACGGCAAATTTCGTGGAACCCGAAACAAGACTTTACGTGAAACAACATCAATAGATGTCTCTTTTCTTTTACGTGAACTGACATTAATTACATGAACGTACGTAAGTTTTCACGACTTATTTACAAAATACCTGGGTATTATCACTAATACGATAAAATTCAATTCAAAACTATTAGTACAGAAAAGGTATTAGTCCATCGACTTTGTTGTAACCATTTTTGACCATATGTAATTATTGATATCATATATATAAAGATAATTATAAAAGCCGGAAAGCCCGTAAGCCAAAGCCGATTGACAAAGGATAAAAGCATAGCCAAAGCCCGGTTCCTTAAAGGGTAAGCCACAGTGGGGTGATTTTTATCAGAATTTCTTATGGTTTTTTTGAAGTAATTTTAGAAATTGATACTACACATTCTCCTTACACCTACCAACCTACCCGGGGCAAGTAAGGATATGTTTCACAGACACCACACACACACACACAAAACACACACACACACACACACACACACACACACACACACACACACACACACACCAAGGACACTAGAAACTTTTGATTACGTCAAATGTATTGATCTTCGAGACCAAGTGACCACCAGACTTCATAGAATCCTTCACTTATAAACTCCTAACATAAATTCTAATCACACACACACACACACAACACACACACACACACACAACACACACACACACACACACAAACACCACCACTACACACACACCGTCCATAAGTCCGTTGTCGGACTTTTGGAAGTCGACGAAACAAAGAAACAACATGGAGAATTTCGGAGATTTAGGAGATATAACTGACGGTACTAAGTTCTTTAACATAGGTTTAGTTATGTTTTCACGTTATAAGTCTAAGGCCTTCGTGTTTTAAAATCAATGTCCGATTTTCTTACCAACAACCATGTCTCACGATGGTATCGTAATATTAGTTTTTATGTGTAAATGAACAAAAGTCTGGAGGTAGGATTTAGTCTACTCACACACACTCGCTTGTAGTCACACATCGGTAATCCCCCCCCCCCCAAATTTCCGGGTGTTTTGATTTCAAGTGGTGGAGTAATCCCGAAGTGGTGAAAGTCTTTGCAGTTACACCCCCTCGAGAAATGTCAGCTGAACACGTTTTACAAATCGCAATCCGCGCCTCTTTCTCTGATATTTTTAAATACCTCCAAGCGCCAGACATGTTGGCTGTGAGCCAGCCGCGAGCATGGTCGCGCGCCGTGCTTTTCGCCGCGTTTTGATTACGTCATCACAACAACACGTTAGTTTACCAACGTAACCCTGTTCCCTGACATTCGGTGATATTTTTTCGGTGCTAAAACCGAAAGGGCCTTTTTAACCATTTTCGGCCGATAATTTTCGGCGGCCGAATATTCGGTGCATCCCTAATTTTTAGGGCTTGTCATGCTTTTGTTTAAAAGAGAGATAAACAAGAGACAACATGCAGGCCGCTGTGAAAAAATCAATACAATTATTAGTTGTTGAAACCTACAATCTCTGTATTCAGTCTAACATAATCTCCTCCCTCAGATGACGCTCGTCTGTTTGCCTTCGTCCGCATCACGATGGGAGACGCCATGAGCAAACGGGCCAAGTTCACCCTCATCACCTGGATCGGGGAGAACATCAGTGGGCTGCAGCGGGCCAAGGTCAGCACCGACAAGGCGCTGGTCAAAGAAATCGTGCAGGTCAGGAACTGGGTGGGGTCACATGGGAAGAATGTAGCAATTCATTGTGGGTGTAGAGAGTGGAGCTGTAATGGTCCTCTGGGAGCACTGCTGGGTTACAGAGTGCTGCAGACAGTCACACACAATATGATTCTAACAAACAACAACAATCTGAACTCTGGGCTACGGAAGCCCTGAGAGGCAAGTAGAGAAATAAAATCTGTTGATCTATTTTCTGTCAAATCTAAAGTGCTCTCTCCTCAGGTTATGACTTAATAACAGGTGAAGAAGTTATAGTGCCGGGATCATCTTTTATTCCAAAAACAAAAACATTGTTCTGGGTAACTCTTTCCATCTGTGAAAGAAATGAGCAAAATTGGCAGGGGATTTTTATCATGAATATTTTCTGCCAGGATGTTTTTTTGCAACAAGAAGCATGGCTTCCACATATTCAAAATAAGAATCAAACAATCCTGTTTTTCCTTAATTTTGGATAAGCTTACAGTAAGATTCATCTCGGGCCAAAAGTAAGACATGACAGTCAATTTATTGGCCGATTTGTATTTTGTTTTTCTCACTTGCCTTTCGCGGCTTCTTTAGTGGAGAAAATGAATAAAGGTGGTAAGAAAAAAAAAGTTAGCGTTTGAAAACATCCGGTTCCCTCGTCAATGGTTTTCTGAATGTGTTTTTGGTTAGATGCCGGAAATAAGCTCTGTGTTTAACACAAACTGAAACAACAATACCGTTTTTTCAACATAAAAGTGTCGGAATAAGTTTATAATCTGCACAGCTCTCCACTTCGTAACAATAATGCCCATATTTTATTTTATTATTCCAAGTATTTTGCCATATTATACTAATTCGTTATTTGATAAATCTATACTTCAAGTACATATTTCTTTATCAATTAATGTTAAAAAGGTTTTTTATAACTGTTTTATGTTTTTGGTTGTTTTTTCTTACAATGTATCTTCTTTAACTTAGCTGATTCTGATACGTCAGGAATTACCCCACTGGCCTAGCATTTATGCTTCAAATCATAAAGTAGTGTTCAAATGTGGAGTTTATCCTGTTGAACAAAGCGTGCAAATACCATAAATGTTTTTAGCCACCAGTCTTATTTTCGTTAATATTCCAGAATCCAATGGAACAATCCCATTGCTTTTTGTCGATATTGTCGGGTAGCCTACAAAAAAATGTCATAACTGAAGTATGGTTTTGCTTTCTGTGCAAAATCCCCTTGTAACATTTCAAAGTGTACCCAGCTGTAATTCGCCCGGTCTGTTCACATTCTGCAACAAATGAAAGTAATTTTGGATTTTTCTTTGGTTTTACAGAACTTTGCCAAGGAGTTCATGTTCAGTGACCCCCGGGAGCTGGATGCTGACAATATCCGCTCAGAGCTGAAGAAGGCTGGGGGGGCCAACTACGACGCTCAGGCCGAGTAGAGAAGTGCCATGTCCACTGGAGGGGTTGGGTGGGGGGTTCCGTTGTGGTCAGGGTAGGGTGTGGTGGAAAAAGTGGGGCGGGGGGGTTGGGACAAGGCTTCTACCTCTTGGGGAGAGAGCAAGGCAGGATGAGGGGGGGGCTTGACAAAGGGAATGCATGCACAAAGGATCAGGGGTGCAGCAGTCAGTGGAACCAGTCACTCTAATGCTGACTCATAGAAACTTTCTAGAAAACTTCCATTATATTTTCTAAACTAGTGTCCACCGTGTCCTCTCAACAGCAGCCTTAGAACAGATGAGAACCATCAGGTTACTGTAGTTACAGAGTGTATCAGTACAGATGCTGTTGGTGCACCTCTGAACATCTGCATAAGGGCGTTTATATACTTTATTTGAACAGTGTGAGCTGCACTGCTCACCTACTTGTACACACAAATAGAAAAAAGTACATCCACATCTAAGGACAGATAAGGAGCACATTGAAATATCTTCCTTGAGAACCTCACATTTTGCCAACATAAAGAAACTCTAACATGGTTTCACTTAAGGACGTTACTGTAATAACCCCAGATATAGATGAAAAGATTGACAGGACTTTTTGTCTTTATGATAAATGGTTAGCAGCTGATTAGCTTAGCACACAGAAAGGGAAAAGCTAGCCTGGCTCTGTCCAGAGGAACTAAATCTGCCTACCACCACCTCTAGAGGTACCAATCTCATTTCATGTCTTTTTTGTTTAATCTTTACTAAAACTACAGTGTACAAATGAAAACCTGAAGTCACTGTTCCTGACTTAGAGATAGTCCTGCATGTTACCTACTGGTAAATGGCACATTAACAGTTGTATAACTGTTTTTTTGTAACATTTGAACAAATGAGATACACTGTATTAATAAATTAACTTTAGAGGTGTTGGTGGATATATTCATGTATGTCATAACCAGGCTAACTCTTTTCCCCTATTTTCAGTCTGTGTGCTAATCCAAGCTAATCAGCTGAAGCTTCACATTGAACGGACAGATATGAGAGAGGTATCAACCTGATCATCTTCCCTCAAGGAACAACAAGCTAGCAATTATCCCAAAATGTCCAACTGTTCCTTTTAGGATCTTATCTAAAACGATATGCTAAAGGCAGCATTTACTGCAGTTCTGTTACTTTATGTCTGGTGTCTGCATTCACTGGAGTTAAAATCAGTATATAAGCGCTCTTAAAGATCACAACCTGCCTCCCCCCGCCCTCTCCCCGGTGGTGATTTACTGTGCGTAACATCTCAAACTCATCCTCACCTCAGCCGGCTATAGCTGAGCAATACGAGGCTTCAGCACTGTTCGCTAGGAATCATTACACGTAATGAGGATGAAGGGTTTCACTTTGAAATGGCATGTGGTGGTGATGGATCATGTTGTTAAAATTGGAAAGGATAGAGGTGTCATTTTGAAAGAAAACTCTTAACTGGCAGGCATGTGTTTGCCACCAGAGCATGCTCTTAGTCATGATACACTGTACCTCCAGGAGGAAGAGATCTCCACTGGCTCACATCCTTGGTGATGGCTGCTGGCTCGCTTTGCGTAATCTTGAGTCACATTTAGCCTCCTCTTCATTCTCAGCAGCTGTGTTTGGATTACAGCTTCCATCTGGTCCTGAGTCAGCTTGTAATTCAGCCTGTCTGCAGACCTGTGCTCTGTGCTGTGAACTCCTCCTTTAAAAGTCCAAATGTGTCTTTTTGTTAGTGTGATCATATATGGACCTTATTTTGATCTACTTCCTTATTCCAGGTTTTGTTGGATATGATTGATGTTAGCAGTTCCCAGGGCTGGGGGCAGAGTTTGTAGAAGAGTACAGGGCAAAGGGTGAGACTCTTGGAGGCTTCCTGCCTGTAGATATTATGCCATAGAAATACAGAGAACAACTTTTATATCGACCCGTCAGCAGCACTTGTAGTCAAGTATTGAATGTTTTCCAACATATCAAAGGATTGTGAGGATGGAGATCTTTTCCTCTGGTGTTTCATCTCACATCGACCACTAAAGGGCATCATGAGAGCTTTTGAACTCTACACTGTGATTGGCTACCGTCCTTACATAAGGGTGGGACTCTGATCTGCTCATGGCTCATTACAACGTGGACCTGGGTTCATCATCCCCCCGCCCAGGATGAGTCATTTCTCGGGTGTAGCATCTCTGTTTATTTGGTTTCACTTCTCCTCACCCCTGCAAAAAAATGGACGTTTTTCTTGTACCTTTTATGTTTTTGAGATGAATTTTATTTTCTCTGAAGAGTTTTACCTTATGATTTTATTTTTAAGAGCATTGTTATCTTGGTCATTGGCAAAAGAGATTTTCAAAAAAATAATGCAAAAAAAAGAAAGAAAGTGGGCACAAGATCAGTCATTTCAAAATAAAAATTGATGTTTTTTCCAAAACCCGCTTCTCAAAGTGTCTTCTGTGTGTCTACTTGCCCAAAACCATGAATATTAATATTAATAATTATTATTATTATTTTGGTGACGACCACAAAAATATGGGGTTGTGTCCATGCTTGTTAAAGTGTTTCGATTGGCTTAAAGCAAATACAAATGTCCATATGAAAAGAGAGTTCGTCAACATAATACAGTATATTAGGTTGTCTCAGAATCAGAGCTCTTCTGATGTCACATGTCAAATATACCTCTGATTGATGTTTCATCGTTTTCTTAAACGGCTGATCTGGTAGTCGCTGACTACATTTTTAAATGGGTGCAGTCTATCAAGTCAATTTAAATTAAATGAGTTGACCTACTGCAGAAGGAGGATTTTACAAAAAACTTTTGATTTGAGTTCCTAGTGCACTGCATATGTGAAAAAAACCTTGAACAAAGCCTTTTGTTGAGACAAAAAAAACTCTAATAAATAACCAATCTGATGCAGTGCAAAATCCCACACAGATATGATCATCCAGGAAGTGTTGGCTGAGGATGAGTGTTCCTTGTAAAGTTTGAGACTCAGAAATGTCAATCACATCAGTTAACAATGCGAAAGGAGAAGTGAGGCTTTTCAAAGATCACTGACCTGGTTATGCTTTCAAATGAAACTGCACTGATACGCCCATTGCCAACTAAGACAATGATACAAAGCATGTGAATATGTACACTTATACGCAGAGGTTGAAGAAGTACTCAGATTATTTACTTAAGTTAAAGTAAAAAAGTATTAGCATAAAGAATACTTTAAATACCAAAGGTAAAAGTACGCAAAAATGGCAATTTTATTAAATGTATTAAAAAATCATTACTTCAATGTTGTGTTTGTAAAGATGAGATTTATTTTCAATACTTTATACACTACTCACTCAGTGGCTTAACCAATAATAATATATAATAGTAAAATAACAATAAGTGTGTTGTTTATATTTTGTACTAATAACCTAAATCTACAAAGTCACTATCAAACTAAATCTGCTAAAAAAAAAACATAGTGGAATGAAAAGTTAAATATAAAAATACTCAAGTAAAGTACAATTACCAAGATGTTTCTCTTAGCACTTGAGTACATGTAATTAGTTACACCACTACTTATATGATTGCAAACAAACTAAACAAATCATTGCAGGAAAGCAAGAAGTGGTTTGAGGTGGACTCGGCCACTCAGGGCTTCTTCAACTCATTTTCTGAATGTGCTTTTGTATCTATGTTTGAGCCATTGTGAAGATGGCTTGCAAAATGATTATAAAATGTGTCACAAAGAAGCTTGAATAAAGAGGCCCCTCCGTTACGCAGTCTGAAGTGTAGACTGCCATATTTCATTATTTCATTTTTATAATTTCCTATTGGTATCAATGCAGGGTGAGGTAATGGGAGCATTTAGGCACTCGTGGATTCAAGGTCCACACAGCAACCGTCTCTGGGGGCTTAAGGGACTCCCGAGGGTTGCCATGGTCACCGCTGTAATCATCATGCTCAGCCAGTCAGCAGTCGGGGGGAAGACAAGATGTTTCTATTCATAAGATAGTTAGGTCTTAGGCCCTCCTCCCCCTGTTGTAGCTTCACCATCCTCCCTGAACTCTAATGTCATGTTTCAGCCATAATCAAATGAATGCATAACTGATTAAATGTTAGTCAGTGATGTTGTTGGTTACTTATCAAATACCAGGGGCAGTAATGCTGTCTCAGATCTGATTGTACAGTGACTGATGAGATTAGCTGCACTCAGAGAACATTATCTTTCCCTGGCCTGTATTTAAACAATTATTCTCTGCACTTCTTAGGATAGGTAAATACATTACTGATATGTGTGTTACCATTGAACTCGGCTTTCTCATGCACAGCGTCTTGCAGTCAAAAGGTGTGGTGAGTCAGTCAGCATGACCTCAGAGGCCGGGACACTCAGGGCTGGACATTTGGTTCCAATAAAGACGTCTAATTTGCGGGTTGTGTTGTTGCTTTTGATACTAGGATGTTTGAGACTAGATGAGTGACGGCTGCTGGTCTGCACCGGGTCATCGATGGCTCCCAGCTGTTCAAACACACACACCATCAGCATGGGTTCCTCTGATACAGCTGTCAGATCACTGGATTAATGGTTGGTCTGCATGACTCAGCCCCTGATCAAACGTGGTGTGTGTGTGTGTGTGTGTGTGTGTGTGTGTGTGTGTGTGTGTGTGTGTGTGTGTGTGTGTGTGTGTGTGTGTGTGTGTGTGTGTGTGTGTGTGAGAGAGAGAGAGTGTGACAGGCTGGATGGGTGGTTTCTGTGATCTTTGAAAACTAATAGCAGGTTACATAACTAGAGAGCTCTGGTATGAGGAAGTGAATATTTGAGATTGTACTTTGTGTGTGTGTGTGTGTGTGTGTGTGTGTGTGTGTGTGTGTGTGTGTGTGTGTGTGTGTGTGTGTGTGTGTGTGTGTGTGTGTGTGTGTGTGTGTGTGTAGTGTAGTGTACGTAGTCGTAGTAGTTAGTAGGTTACGTAGTTAGT